CGTGACATACAAAAATTGATGTTTATCTGTGTTTTTTTTTAATATTTGCTTTTTAATTAAGAAATTGAGTAATGTATAGTACTAAAATTTGAATTATAATCTACAGTTTGATACTGAACTTATTGATATAAATTCATGAAATTGCAGTTCAATAAAATTTTGAATGCCAGTCAACAAATGAGATGACATGGCCTTTCACCCATGACCCGTCTTGAAAGGGTTTACTGGCCTTTCAGCTAAGCTGTAATTGATTGAAATAATTGTTTGCTGGTTGAGGTGGTCTTGGGTATAGCAACAATAAACTTATAGGCCAAATAATTCAGAAACTGTCATCAGAATGAGATAACCTTATATGTCATTCCATAAATTATTATCTTCTCTTTCTGTTGATTCTAAATAATCCAGTAGCAAATGTCAGAGAGAATTATTGACATTTTTTGAAAGACTGGAAGAGATAGGATGTTATGGGAGATTAGTTTGGCTTTCTGGTTTGTATTTCAGTAAAGCAAGAAGATTGGAGGCTGTAAATTTATGTTATTTCTTAGCAATATCTCTACTATAACTGTGAAACTTATGCCAAACTCAAAGACCATATAGAAGTAGAAGGAGAATCTAAAATGGGCAGTTTGGAGATAGGTGTGTCATGTGATAGAGAAGGGAAGATTGAGAATTTATTCAAATATTCCTCTTTGAAGTCAAAAAGTTAAACCTTACCTAATATTAAAATTTGAATAATGAAGTACATTTTAATGCCAGGTTTATTGAATACATTGATAATAAAGTTAATTAAATTTTAAATGTAATTGTAAAAAGTCATGAAGTGCACTTTGACCCCCACTATTACACGTAGGGTTAAGGGAAAAAGAATTGTGTGATTAGTTTAGCTGAAATTCTGAATACTATTTTTGTTACAGTGATTTTGTATTTACATTTGATACCAAACTATTTTGTTAATGTTATAAATAATTGCTGTATAAATATAAAGTCTGCCTTAAGAGTAAAACAGTATATAGCTATAGTTTTTTTGAAAAACATTGTGTGATGATCCAACAGAAAATTTATGACTGGATACCTTGTGTTGTTCCCATTGTCTTTATCTTTTTTTGTGACTGGTGATTGGTTTATTAGCTTTGATCTAATGATTATGTTTAGTTGAAAGAGAAGTATACTTATAAAAAACATATATATTACATTTTAATGGTTTATGATTGTTGTAGGGCTATGCTTGGCCATTCTATAAGCCCGTGGATGCAGAACTTTTAGGGTTACATGATTACCATAAAGTAATAAAACAGCCTATGGATCTAGGAACTGTAAAAGTAAGTTAATAAAATTTTCTCAGCATTTATAGTCTTAAAACAGTAAAACTTAAATTTTTATGTTGATCTGATGACTTTCTCTATATGCAGACAGTATTAATTTTACCTAACTGAAGATATTTGTTCCACATCTTAGTTTAGTAACTGTTAAAACAAAAATTGTTTGGAAAATAAAATACTGAAACCCAAGCTGTTGTCATTCAAACCAAAAGTTGTTTAATAATATGTGATATATATATATATAAATAAAAGAGGAAGTTTGTTTATTTTGTTCGATATAGGAAACCAAATGGTTGAACTTGCAAATTTTACAAGAAATTTAATGGTGCTGTTTATTTTGTATTTGGTGTAGTATTTAATGATGAAACTGACAATTAATGATTATTGTGCCATTTTTTTGTAATAAACATATATACATAAGCACGTTTTGCACATAGAAAGCGTTATGGCGGGAGACACTCAGATCACCTTGCTGTCAATTCAGTATTTCCAAAAACAGTTTTCTTTAAATAGTGCTAAGTGGTTTCATAAGTGATTTAGTAACTTTGTGAATTGCAAAGTATTGTTTAGTGATACAGGTGATTATGCCACCCAAGAAACGCTCTTTCTATGGAAAGTCTTCTGCTGCTAAAAAAATGCAAGCACAAAGAGCAGCTGAAACAAAAGAAGAATGCAATCAAAGACTTCAAGCACAAGTTGCAAGACAGGCTGCTCAAATACAGGAAGAGACTTTGGAACAACGTAAAGTTAGACTTCGAGCTTAAGCTGAAAGTTAGGCTACTCAAAGACAGCAAGAAACTGTTGAACAGCACAAAGCCAGAGTTCAGTCAGAATCATCAAGGCAAGCTGGATATAGACAACAAGAAACTTCTGAACAACGTCAAACCAGACTTCAAGCACAAAAATTAAGACAAATAAGTTACAGAGAGCAAGAAACAGAGGAGCAATATGATGTACGACTTCAGGCTCTAAGAACAAAACAAGCTCAAACACGATCTAATTTCAAATAAAGCTTTGTTTGATTAAATGCTTTTTTACTTCTCACATCACAGCTTTTGTCTACTTACTGAATAATTTGCAGAAAAAATACTGATCTATACATTTCAAATCTAAATTGTCACCGTGCAACGCTGGGTAACTCAGCTAGTATATATATATTTCAATAATTGATAATGAGAAGTAGAACATAGCAAATATAAATGTTACCATTTTAAATTCATACTTCAATATCATTTATATCATTTATAGTGATAAAAATAATCAATTAACTGTCTGTTAAACGTTTCCCGATTATTACTTAATAATAATATTAAGGTTTTCAACGCCAAAAATTCATAAATCCGGTAAACCAATAGGTCTAATATTTGTGATAAAAATAAAGTTTGACTTCAGATTTTTTCCACGTCTTTCATAATACGTATTAGGCCTATTGGAAACATTGTTTGTTAAACACTACCAGACAATAACTTAATATTATGGTTTTTTCACGCCAAACATTGACGAAGCTAATATACCAATAGGCCTACTTTTGAGGCTAAAAACTACGTTAATCTAATTTTTTTCCATATCTTTCATAATATGTATTAGGCCTATTGAAAAATGATCAATGAGTACAAATAAAGCATAATATTTATCCTGGCTCATTGATAAATAACATAGAATATATGATTTTTGTGATTGTTATGTTGATAGAACTTAGTCTTAGTTAGAACTTAGTCTTCTTTTTAGTCTGGAACTTCTTCGATATCTTATCGAGGGTTCATGATGAGCGAGCTTTGTCCTTCGTTATTCATCAGCCACGCACGCTGAGTTTTCCACCGTTGAAGTTATGTAATGTTTTCGTAAAAGTACTAATATCCGATGAGAATCTACTGAAGTTAAATGATTTGTAATGTTCGAACTTTGTAAATGCTCCTGGTTAAATATCTTAAGTTTTTCGATTGATAAGCGTTATAACAATCGCAGTTATAGTTTCCAAAATTTATAGCACACTGATTATAGCGAACTAATAATAGATACTTTTATGGCACGTCGCGTTGGTTATATTTATATGCGTGTGGAGGATTTCTCAAATTTAAACAGTTCAAACAATTAGCTCTAACACCAGAAACTTGGAACACATACATATCACCATTCAATTACATAAACAGTCTAGAAAACACATAAAACATTCACCAAGTAACTGAAAGAAATTTCTTTTTCAGCTTTGGGCACTGGTCAGGTAGATTATTCGGCGCCTGACCAGTGAAAGTGGGTTTTCTCGGGGTTACTCCCGTTTCCTACACAGCAAAATTCTGAGAATTGGACCACGGTCCTCCTCCTAGCCCTGAAAAGCACTGACAGACGGCCTCCTCCCCCACCCAAAATTTTTAGCCCTAGTGCTTTATCGCACCCGACGCATCCTCGAAAGCGCCGCTGCCTGATTTTCTAAGCTTAATGTATGCTCCAGACCCAGTCAAACCAAATCCAGGACAAACTATAATACTCACGAATATGTACATCCCTC